CACCTAATACTCCACCTAATACTCCACCTAATACTTCACCTAATACTTCACCTAATACTTCACCTAATACTTCACCTAATACTTCACCTAATACTCCATTTAACACTCCACCTAATACTCCACCTAATACTCCACCTAATACTCCACCTAATATCTACCTCATATTCCACCTAATACTCCATTTAATACTTCATCTAATATCTCACCCAATACTCCACCTAATACTCCACCTGATATTCCACCCAAATATCTCACCTAATAACCACCTAATATCTCACCTAATATCTCACCTAATACTCCACCCAAATATCTCACCTAATACTCCACCTGATATTCCATCTAATACTCCACCTAATATCCACCCCATATCCCACCAATATCCCAACCACCATCGCTCTATCCCACCTATCCTCCCACCATCTAGTCGCACCCATACCCCACCACCAACATTACTTCAATTCTCCTCCCATATTTCGTTCGCCGCATGTCAGCTCATAGCCACCACACACTCATAGCCCCACACTCATAGCCCCGAACTCATAGCCCACCCATTCATAGCCACCACACACTCGTGCCCACCCATACCCGACACCGGTCCCCCCATGCTGACTCCAGATGTAACCGGCTCGATCTCACACCCGGTCCCCTATTTCCAAATCTGGCCACCGCGGCCCTGCCGATAAAGATCCGGCGCAACGATACCGCCGCGAGGCGCCGAAAAAACAGAGACCCGCCGCCAACTTCCTCTTTCTGCCCCACTGCCCCCTCCGCTGAACGGCCCGAAAACCCGTGGAAACCGTGCCCCCGTCTCCCCGCCGTCCCGTGCTCCACGCAATCTTCCCCCTCCCGTTTCCCCCCGTTTTTTTGCCTGTTTTCGGGGCCCCCTTCTGCACCTCCCTCCCCACCCATGGCCTCTCCTTATATCGGCGTGTACAAGGCCGTGTACGACTACACCGCCACCACCGAGGAGGAACTATCGATAGCCGCCGGCGACCTCTTGTACCTCTTGCAAAAATCCGACATCGACGACTGGTGGACGGCCAAAAAACGGCTCTTGCCCCAGGCGGACCTCGATGTCGAGGAGCCCACGGGCCTCATTCCGGCCAATTACATCGAGCCGGCGCCGGCGGTCGGCCGCTGCGTGGTTTTGTACGACTACGCCAAGCAGACGGACGAGGAGCTCTCGTTCCTGGAGGGCGACGCGTTCGATCTCTATGACTTGGCGGACCCCGACTGGCTCTTGGCCGGCAGCGACGGCGTGTACGGCTTCATTCCGTCCAACTACGTGCGCATGGTGGACAATAGTGCAGCCCCGGCGGCGGCGCCGTTGCAGCCCGCGGCGGCGGCTGTTGCCGGCGAAACCCTGGCCCCTGCGTCCCGTCCGATTTCTGCGTTTGCCCCTCCGCCAGTGCACAAGGACAGGGTCGCCCAGCAGCAGGCGCTGGCGGCCCAGGAGCTCGATGTGGAAGGCCACAGCGACGTGGAGCTGCCGCCCCCCGAGCGCCGCCCGCAACGGCCGCAAAGTGGCCAGGCCCAGCCCCAGCAAGCCCAGTCCCAGCAAGCCCAGCAGGCCGAGCCCCAGCAGGACGGCCCGCCCAGTGACGACGAAGGGCCTCCGCCACCCATGCCGACCCGCCCCGGCGGCGCCCTGCGGACTGAGGTGCCGCAGCGGTCTCCAGAAGCGCTGGCCCCGGTCTTGCCCAACACCGCCAGCGGGCAATACGAGCCCGAAACCAACGTGGACTCCTCGTCCCAGGAACAGCATGGCTTTGACGGCGAGTACTTTCGCTGGTACATTGACGAGGTGGACGGGCGCAAGAAGCGCCCCATTGTGTTGGCCATAGGCAACGGCTTGATCATCATCAAGCCCAAGTCCACCAACCCCAAGAAGTTGAAGTTGAAATCCGCCTCTCTGCTCGACAACAACTGGCGCATCCGCGACCTCTCCAACTATAACCACGAGAAGAAACACGTGTTTCTCGACCTCCACAACCCGGACGTGTCCATTGAGTTGCACGCCGGTTCCAAGGACGTCGCGGAGGCCATCGTGTCGGTCTTGGGTGATCTCAAGGGCGCGGAAGCCGCCTCTGGCTTGAAAGAAGTTGCGCGGGCGGCCCTGGCAAAGCACTCGCCCTCCAACAAGCGCGTGGGAAGGCTTCTTTACGACTTCAAGGCGCAAAGCAAGGATGAGTTGCTGTGCCGCGAGAACGACGAGGTCTTTGTCGTTGACCTGAACAAGTCCGCCGAGTGGTGGCTTTGCGAGCGTGTTGCTGACGGCCGCCAGGGCGTGGTTCCTTCCTCGTACATTGAGATCGTGTCCACCACGAACTTAGACAAGCTCACCGATGGTGTGCAGAAACGCAAGTCCCAGAAGCCGGCCTCCACCGCGTCCTCCAAGGGCAAGGTCGTGGCGCCCAGCGCTAAATCTCAAAAGCACCTGTACCGTACTCGTGATGACCGTGATAAGATCAGGGAGCGCGACAAAAAGAAGAGAGACAAGTCTGACACCGCTGAGGGCGACAACATGCCCAACTTCCACAGAGTGAGAACCTGGATAGACAGCTCCGGCACTTTCAAGGTCGAGGCGGAGTTCTTGGGGTGTGTCGAAGGCAAAGTGCATTTGCACAAGACAAACGGCGTCAAGATCGCCGTCTCCGCAACAAAGCTATCCATCGAAGACTTGGAGTACGTTGAGAAGGTCACTGGCACCTCCCTTCAGAAGTACAAGGACGAGGTGGCCAAGCAAATCGCAAAGAGAGACAGCAAAGCTGCCTCCTCCAGCTCTAAGCCTGCCAGCGCAGAGTCAAACGCGCCCGTCGTGACACCTCAAGCCGTGGCCCCACAAGCCACGCCTTCAAAAACCCCCACCAGATCTGCAACAGCTGTGATCAACGACGTGCCTCCTGAGAAACCCTCCAGATCAAAAGCGCCAACATCTGTTCCTCCAAACGAACCCGACTACGACTGGTTTGACTTCTTTCTTACATGTGGCGTGGACATTGGCAACTGTCAGCGATACTCCATCAACTTCAGTAAGGAGCAGATGGATGAGAGCATTCTCGAAGATATCACCCCTTCGCTCTTGCGGTCCTTGGGTTTGAGAGAGGGGGATATCTTGCGAGTCATGAAGCATTTGAACAACAAGTTTGATCGCAAGAAGCTGGCCTCTGAGGAGCCTCCCGCGCAAGGCAGTCTTTTTACTGAAGCAACAGGCGCATTGAAGAACAATAGCACTACAGAGTTGTCAAAGGTCAATGCCAGTGCATTACCAACCCCCTCTCCCATTAAGGAAGATCATGCCGTCGAGAACAAGAAAGACATTTCTCAAAGTAAGATCGAAGATGACGCTTGGGCAGTCAAGCCTGCTGCTCGCTCCAGTACAGATGTTTCCAAAGCAGCTCCGCGCCCTCAATACACTGGCTCTTTGCAAGACCTTGTGGATGTCAAGCCTTTGGAGATGAACAAGACCTCTCTGAGTGCCGTGACGAACCCTGCAACTATGGTGACTGCTACTCCCTCGGCACCCCCTATGACACCAGTGAAAACCGGTACCATGATACAGCCAAACCAGCAGTTTTCTGTGCAAAAGACTGGTTCTGGAAACTCAAACCCTGCAGCATTGGGTGCTATGAGAACTGGAGGATTGATTCCAGTGCCAACAGGTGGATTGATTCCCGTTCAACCAACAGGATTCATTCCAATCTTGGCTCAACCAACTGGTTTCGTTCCAATTCAAGCAACGGGGGGTCTTGTTGGTCAGCCAACATTTGGATTTGTACCTTTGCAGACAGGAAATTCGACTTTCATTCCCCAAAAAACAGGACAGCCGCTGGCCCCCGCCCCTGTCACCTCCTTTGGACAAGCCTTTCCTCAGCCAACGGCGTCTTTTGTGCCTCTTCAACCGGGTACTGTGACTCAACCACAAGGAATGCCTCTGACCACTTTTGGTCAACAGCCAACAGGAGGACAATATGCTGGTTCTTCTAATGGACTTGGTGGTCAAATTACTGGTCAAGCATTCCAGAACACTTTTGTTCCCCAATCAACTTTCGGTCGGCAAATCACCGGCGGCTTCATGGGGGCTAATCAAACAGGTGGTGCACAGGTGGCACCTCTGACATCTTTTGGGAACCAAACCACGGGGGGACAGATGCCTCAAACTTTCTTTGGAAGTCAAATGACTGGCGGAATGATGCCGCAAACGTCATTCGGAAACCAACCAACTGGGGGAATGATGCCACTGGCATCCTTTGGTGCGCAAATGACTGGAGGCTTCAACCCGTCAATGCCTCAGTATACTCAACCCCCACCTAGCGGAGTCAACCAAGCCACGAACATGTTTCAAAATACATCTTTGGGAGGGCCAATGGGACAACAATTTGGACAGCAACCCACAGCTTCTTTCGCTCAGCAACCAATGTTCTCTCAGCAGCCAACTGCCTCCTTTAACCAGCAGCCTCTGTTCGGTCAACAGCCCATATTTGGTCAACAGCCCACAGCCTCTTTTGGCCAGGGACCCTCAACATCATTTGGTCGACCCCCAATAGGGACGTTTGGCCAGCAGCCTAATAACTCATTTGCTCAACAATCTTATGGTCAACAATCCTTCAATCAACAGCCTGCGGCTTCTTTTGGGCAAGACACATTCGAGGGTTTTAATAACCAGCCATTGCAATCTCAACCAACTGGTCTCGGATTCGGAAATGCGCCCAATTTACAGTCTCAAGCAACGGGAAGACGTGCCAATTTGCAGGCTGCTACAGCTGACAATCCTTTTGGATTCTAGTTTGGCAAGAGGAAACAGCTTGATAATACTGCATCCTTCATGGGTCTACTAACACCAGGCTAAACCATATCAAACAGTAGATATGAAAATTGAAACTACCTGAATCTATATCTTCTACAGTACAGCTTTTCGACATCTACTCATTCATGTAATTTTAGTCGTAAACAAGGATTAGACTAAGTGGTAAGTGTGGTTCTGCAGACGCGCTCTCCGTTTTTGCAGCCATATAAATCAATATAAAAAGGTGAGCAAACCCTAAATATCTCTGCACACATCTTTTTACTCCCCCACTTCCGCTGATTGAGGCATTTTAGTTCTCTGAGTATTGAGCGTGTCGTAATGGCTTTTGAAGAAAGCTGTGCAGTGTTCTTACCTTTTATTGAGTTTCTTTCTCAGCGTAAGGAAGCACTTCTTGACGATCCATACAAAGGAGATATTGAAACGATCAGGGGGGTCTTCCGTGAAGTTTGTAATGATGAGCCAGTGAAAGAAAAAGCTAAAGATCAAGCAACATTTCGTGATTATCTTGCCGAGTTCAATGTGGTCTCAGGATCTGCCCTTGTATTCAATTCTGAAACAGACAAACAGCTCATTTGGATCAAGGTTGCTAATATCTCTATCTTAAAGGACCGTCTCAAAAATTCAGAACCATACTCTGCACTAGGTGTGAACCGTTTGTATAGTAATGAGCGGCCTCCAGAGCGCCCTTTAGAAAAATCTTCAAGCGTGAGCGATAAATTGATGGAAATCTTGAGGGCAGACCCGCAAACTGTTGTGAACTGTGAAGTTTCTGCCGAGAAAGGATTCGACCATGATTTTGCTAGGCTCAACAAAATGTTGGCGAGACCTACAGCAATGGTAAAGCTCGGGGTCAAAAGAGCACAGCTAATAACAACACAGAAGCCATTCTACGAAGTGTGCGAGGTACTGGATCACAGTCAAACGCTCGCAAACTTGTGCTTGAACTTGAAATCGATAGGTCTGGGATTTAATGAGCTTCCTTCAAATGCCAAAATACACAAGGTGATCAGCTCGTGTAAATCTTTGCTCACAAAAGAAGTTTTGGCTTGCGTTAGAAACAAGATCCATTTTTTACCTTTATTGACGAACAACACGGATCTTTACCTTGGCAACTGCTCATATCTAGACACGTGCCATAAGCTTAAGAACTGCCGTTATTTACACTTCTACACTTTGAATCCATCTCAAGCAAACGTCGAGACCAGTCAACAGAATCCTCTTCTTGCCATAGACTATACTATTGGAGAATGTCACGATACTATGCTGAGGAAGGAGCTACCCGCGCAGTGGATCAACTGTGATGTCAGATACCTCCCATTCAGCATATTGGGTAAGTTTGCCGCCATAATCTCCGATCCTGCGTGGGATATCCACATGTCACTTCCTTATGGGACTTGCAAGGATTCTGAGCTTCTCTCTTTACCCATGAGAGAGCTCCAGGATGAGGGTGTCCTCATGCTTTGGGTGACTGGAAGATCGATTGAAATTGGCCGTAGAGCTTTAGAGCAATGGGGGTACACTGTTTCAGATGAAATGATTTGGATCAAATTAAATCAATTGAGAAAAACTATTGTCACAGGCCGAACTGGACATTGGCTCAATCATTCAAAGGAGCATTTGCTTGTGGGAGTCAAGGGCAATCCCGTTTGGCTTAATAGAAAAATCGACATAGATTTTATTGTTAGCGGAACGAGAGAGACTCTGAGAAAGCCCGATGAGCTTTATGGAATAGTGGAGAGACTAGTTGGTATTCATGCGAGGAAATTGGAAATATTTGGGCGGGACAACAACATTCGTCCAGGGTGGATCAGTACGTATTCTCCGAGGCACCACAGAGGCATAACAGCCAAAAACTAACTCAACAGCCATCGGAAACCAGTTGACCGGGACTTCCATCTATGAAGAAGAAGTGAAGCAAAAGTATAATCGGTACCAATCTGCTTCAAAAAAAAACTAAAAGTTTCAATCGCAAAATTCGGAAATGATCAAAATCGTGTATAAAAACTATAAAGTTTAAATTCTGACACGAGACTAGGAACCACCGGTTCAGATCTTTTTTTTCGACATTTCGCTAACAAATTTCCCCGCCTGGTTATCCATCTCTTTTTTTATGTCAAGCTTGAAGCCGAGCCAAAAAGCAATCTCGTATACCACAAAGAAGGGTGCCAACACCACGGCCTGGAGCAAGTTGTCAAACAAAGCGGGGGCCCTTCTTTCATACACAGCATGGCCATAGAACTGAGCAAGCCAACTTATTATGTGAGCTGTTATGGCTATTTGTTTGTACAGACTCCTCAGGATGAGTGAGGAGGGACTCAACTCCAGGTAATAGACTCGCTGCACGTGAGCGAAGCCTGCTAGGAATAAGAAGGCTGGCACCCCCAATTGCCAGTCTAGTATCACGTAATACAATCCGTATAACCAAGCTGCAACGACTCCGGTTGTTATATATGGATATTGAGTGAATATCACATTCCCAATTGAGAAACTAATTGCCGAGAGCAAGATTATGGGGATACACACAAGATGGATGGCGACATTGGTGTTGTTGAAATGGTACTTGCGATAAAAGACTAGATGTGCCTTAATATCAAAAATCCCGGGCATTTCCAGGAGCAGGGATCTTTCCTTGGTTTGTTTTACAATATAACAATGGATGATGCGAACAATAGAGTCTTGAAGTGTTCGAGTTCGAGAGAAAGGCGGGGAAAGGGAGTGCATCTCACGAGTTTCCCTGCCCCTGTGCTTTCCCGCGAAAAAAGTTAACACGGAAAAATGGTCAGTTCTGCTTCATTTATTTTATATTTTGAGTCCAAGATGGTTTTGATGTATTTAGAGACGGGGAGTGGGATCACTCTCTCAATCCAAGGGATGGTTTCTTCACCACTCTGCTTCTCTTGGTGCTCCTCGAGGACTCGTCGCGGTCAAATGCACCTGCAGACGAGATGTCTCTGCCGAGGTTGTCCAAGTCCTTCACCTTGTAAATTCTCACAATCCAGTTTTGAGAAGTAAACGCTTCCTCAACCGCGTTCAAGGTGATCTTTCTATCGGCGGGGATGTTCTGGCCACGGACTCTGTCGACAGCGTCGCGTCCGCCAAACAACTCGGCAAATCTGTAGTAGGACATCTTGTACATCATGGAGTTCTTCATGGCGTCGGAAGCTTCGTGGTCCACCTTGTACTCACCGTTGGAACTGAAGTAGTCTCTCTCGTGGATCTCCTCAGGCCAGATGCCTTCGGAGATTCTGACCATCCACAAGAACTTGTTGATGTCGTCACCGGAGTAACCCAAAACACCGCCAAAGATGACCAAGACGTAGTCGACATCGTGTTTCTTCAAGATCTCGTAGGAAACCTCCTCGTTGGCGGCCATGGCCTTTCCGACGGTGGCGATGTGAGTGTTGTTCCAGGTGTTGTTGTCGACCAAGGTGGTGCGGTCGGCCATGCCTCCGATCTGGTACCCGTAGTCCCACCAGGCCATGACCTTGGCGTCCTCGGGCGTGTTCATTCTCAACCAGTAGTAGGCCTCTCTGTAATCATCAATGATGTTCTGCGACCCGTCCGGGTTCTTGGAGGCCAAGACCACGGAAGGAGACGAGTAGGCGTTGGACGTGACCCAGGTGCAGTGCAAGACGAAGAAAATAAGGTAGTAGACGAAGGAGCCCAAGACCACAACCTTGGTCAAGATCTGGACCACGGGGAACGCAGTCTTGCTGGTCTTGGCGGGGGCCTTTTCCGAGACCTTCTTCTCCGAGTCCGCTGGCGCGGACTGGAACAAGTCAACGATGTTCATATAGGCATCGAACAAATGGGACAAGGCAATGGCGGCGGCCACGCAGATGACCGGGGTCAAGGTCAACATCAAGCGGACCATGACGCCCGCGAAGTAGGTGGCGAACACGCCGTAGATGATGATGAACACGTGCTCGTCGCGCAAGTCCTGGAAGCAGAAGTACAAGCCTGCGGGGAAGAGCCACACCAACATGTTGGTGTCGAAGAAAAACGCGGGCCACGCGGTGGGCTGGTGCTCGGACACGGAGGCGATGATGGGGATGTGGATCTTGGCGTAGTTGGTGTCCCACAAGGAGTAGAAGCGGCCGGTCCAGGGCGCAATCCAGCCAGCGGAGGTCAAGGCCACCAAGCCAAGCACGCCCACAAGCGTCACCACGACCAAGGACACGGCGAGGAACGAGCGGAACTGCGCGGAGGGCACGCTGGCGCGCACGTACGCGCCCAAGGCCACCAACTGGAGCAAGCCGAAGACGCCCAAGGCGGCCATGTGGTCGTTGGAGCGGATGGGCAAGAAGCCCACGAACGGGATCTGCATGGACGCGGCCGTGCCCAAGGCGTACCAGGTGGAGTAGGCCGCGTACAAGCGCGGGGTGTAGCGGCCCATGGCCAAGAGCACCAACACGTGCAACGGGATCAAGTTGGTGATGAACACGTAGCCTCCCCACGCGGACACCATGTAGAAGTACAGCGCCGCGGCGGCCGCGGCGTGGCCCACGGAGCCGGTCTTCATGGCGCGGATCCAGAGGTAGAACGTGGCCATGAGCAAGGTGATGGCGATGGCCTCGTTGTCGTAGGAGCCGGCGACGGAGCGCGAGATGTAGCCCGGCGCTATGCCCATGAAGAGCGCGGCCAACAAGCCGGCGTTGGAGTCCTTCATCTCGCGCGTGAGCAAGTACGTGAACACGGCCGTGACGCCGGAGAACGCGGGCGCGAGCAACACGCAGATGTTGCGGATGTCCACGGGCATGCCGAGCCAGTTTCTGAGCGCGTGCCAGATGGCGCCGGACGTGACCATCAAGCCCGGGTACAACGTGCCGCCGGTCACGCGGCCCAAGGGGTACCACGTGCGGTCGTCGAACCAGTTCAAGAACTCGTAGAAGGAGTGGGACACCAAGTAGCGCGTGGCGCGGAAGTTGAACCAGGGGTCGAACTCGTGGATGATCAGCTCGAAGCGGATGACCGAGAAGAGCCGCGCGGACACCGCGGCGCCGGCGATGGACATGAAGATGACCGTGCGGAGGAGCAAGCGCAACGTGTCGCCGCGGACGCCGAGGACCTTGGCGGGGGGCGGGGGGTGCGTGGAGGGCATGCCGGGGGGATGTTCAGTGGAGGATGGAGGAGTAGGACCTGGAGGCCGGGGCGCGAGCGAGGAACTGAACAGGTGGCTGTGGGCGCGCGGTGCAGGACGCGCGGCCCTGGTGTCGTGGCCTCAGGGCCGGGGCGGCTGGCGGTGGTGGTGGTGGGCTCTGGGGCCGGGGCCTGGGGCCTGGGGCCGCGCGCGGGCTCCTCCGTTGTTTTCCGGTGCGGTGCTTTTGGCGGAGTCTTTTGGTGAGCTTCTGGGCCATTTTTGGAGGTTGTTTTTTTTAGATCTTGCTGATGGCCCCGCTGTGTTTTGGCCGGCCCCATTTGTTTGGGCTCCGTTCTTTTGAGCTCCGTTTTTTTTAGCTCCGTTTTTTTTAGCTCCATTTTTTTAAGCTCCATTTTATTAAGCTTTATTTTATTAAGCTTTATTTTATTAAGCTTTATTTTGTCTGGCCGGCTTTGTTGTATTGAGCTTCATTTTTTGTGCTTGTTTTGTTTCGGTCTGCTTTGGTCGTGGTCTGTTCTGGTCTTCTATTCTGGTCTGGTTGTCAGTGTTTGGTATTTGGTTTTGGTCCTGGCGCGGCCTGGGCTTGGGGCGGCTTGGGCTTGGGGCGGCGTGGTCTGGGTGCTGGCTAGTTGGGCGCGGCTGGGGCCTGTTTTCCCGTTGGCTCAGCGGCCTTGCGGCGCCCTCTAGTGGATCCGCACTGGGCCCGTGATGAAAGAGAATAGAGCCGGGCCGGCGCAGGCCCGCCGAGAAGGCCGACGCTTGTTTGTTTGTTTGTTGTTCCTGTTGTTCTTGTTGTTCTTGTTGTTCTTGTTTTTCTTTCTTTTCTTGTTGTTCTTGTTGTTCTTGTTGTTCCTGTTGTTCCTGTTGTTCTTGTTGCTTTCTTTGCCTTTCTTTTGTTCTATTTGTTTTCTTTGCCTTCCTTTTTTTCCTTTGGTTCTTTTGTTTTGTTTGCTTTTCTTTTGGTTTTTCCTGCTCGGATTTCTCTGGGTGTCCGTGAGTTCACCACCCTCTGCCCTTTGCTTGGGCTGTGCTGTTGGTGCTGTTGCCTCAGGCCGGGAGATCGGGCCAAAGACCCGTCAGCGGAGCCTTTCATGAATCTGTTTCGTTTCCAATCTTCTGGCTCCTACTATTCTCTGATTCATTGTCCCTCTCGTCCTCTTTCCGCCGTCCTCTTTCCGCCGCCCCCCAAATCTTATTCTCCCAATATGTTCTGTTTCATCTCCCCGTCTCCTCTTTCTTTGTTTCCCATTGCCCCTTTTACTTGCATCCCAGCTGGATCCTCACTTGCTCAAAGACTGGCCGTCGAACACCTGCAAATCAGGGGCAAAACAAAACAAGCGCTAACAAAACTTAAATTCCACAATCGCTTCGGCCATCCCATCTCTTCTTAAAGGACTGGCAGAGTGGCGGGCTGTCCCATCAAAGGCCGCAAATCGACGGCTTCTGCTGGTCCCAGTAGACTTCCAAGAGACGTGCCCCAATAGTAATCGGATTATGGTCCAAGATTCCGGCAAAACAAGAACGTGACCGCCCCAGCTTCAAAAAGTGGATCTGCACACTTTCCAGCAGCTGCCAGAACCAGCAGGTCTGGTCTCACCTACCAAGCTCCAAACGAAACCGCCAAGCGCAAGTCTTCAGACCTTGCAGTCAATGGGAACACAAAAAAACACAGCCAGAGTTTGAGTGCATCGGCTCATCATAATTCCATGGCGAAGCCCCCAGAAAATAGACTCATGTAGCATGTATGTGGCGAAAATGCAATATCCCATGGACTGTTGCCCTGCAACTCGCTTGCCTGTTGCAGCGCGATTTAAATGGGTGCGAAATCAGCGTTCGGATTCGGTTGTCTTCGGAATCGAAAGTTTGGGCCGGGCCGCTTCCTTTTTTCCACAATCTCCATCGGTCTTACTGGCCCGGGCCTGACACGTTCAAAAATTATGCACTGGATGTTTTTTCTTGGGGGCCTGGCCAAAGACGTGGCGAAGCGGGCGCTCCCCCAGTAATACCAGTGATTAACCAGTGCATTGACTATCGAGACACTATTTGTGACCTCGAGATTAACTCAACCCCAGCAGCTCTGACGGCTTTTCACTGCCAGCATTTTTCTCCTTGTTCCCATGAAAAGCATAGCTCTCCACAGCAGCAGAAAACACCCTTCGAAACATAAGAACAGTCTTGTTCGCATATGAGCTCTGCTAGCTTCTTACGCACGGATGGAATACAACGCAGGCCATTTTGCATCGCCGCACGACAGAAATTCGTGAGTCCGATTGAGTACGATTTTTCGGCGTCCAATTCCATTCCGAGGGAAGTCAATCTTGATTTCAGAACCAGCCGACACCAAAGGCAGCGTGTGATTGCTCCATCAGTATTGGCGCGGCCAGTGATGAATCGGCCTGCCGCTCAAAAATAGGTACAGACTCCGGACCGATTTCCAGTAAAAACACGCTGCTTTTGTATGTGCTTCTTAACCCCCGTGCATGGAATGCTTTCTCTTGGTAATGTTCAATTTCATCGAGATCTCGAATTTTGACAGCAAAAGGGACCAATGCGCCTTATCATGACTTCGCGATATTTCAACATTTCTCGAAACTCACCACTCAGTCTTATATGAACCTTTGAGGAAACAGAGAACAATGAAGTTTTTATTGAATTCAAGTTTTCCTGTCGGCCGCATCCAAATCTTGGCACATAAAAAAGTCCACAAAGCTCGCAGTATAGGATATTCATTGGACTGGTTTGCTTGCAGAAACAGGCCCTGCTGAGACTAGATGGTGGGGGCGAGGCTGGTCGATAAACCTCTGCTTTCTAGCCCGAGACCATCGGAACAGAAGCCTAGCTGAGAGCCAGTCTTACGAGGGAAATGCTCACAAGAAAAAGCTTCAAAATGTCTTACCAAACGCTCATCTTCTCAATGCTATGAGGGATGAGGAATTGTAGCAGATCACTAGACTTCGGGACTAGAAGTTCTTTGAGTTCTAAGTAGCCTGGGTATGGGAACCTCAGGGATTGTCAGAGTGGCCAGCCGACACGACCACATTATACCTGGTCGCTTTGCAAAAGCGGGAGCCATCTTCCAAGACCTAAAAAAGCGCCCGAGCCATCAAACTGATGTTGAACTTGGAAGCACAATGGGCCCAGCCCAGAGAACGGGGCGAAGAAACATCGCGAGTCTATTGCCGGGGCATGACCATCCCAGGCCTCAACAGCCAGCCGCAAGAAACCAAAGAAATCATATCCATGCTTATATCCTACTTCCATAAACCCCCCAGAAAAGAATCTATAAATACACTGGTGGCCCCACAAGGGCATGTCCGTTTTGCAGAAGGTTCGTGTGATCAGAACGACGACCAGCTCCAGTTTGCCGGCACAGAGCCGACGAGCTGGTCCGCGGCGCCATTCTCCTCGTCCGGCTGCGCCAGCTTCATGGGGACATTGCCGCTCATCTTCGGAGCGAAGATCTCCTTGCGGTAGTCGGTCTTGCTGAACGCCGGCCGAGGAAGCAGGTCCCTGGACAGAGGGGGCTGGAAGGCGGCACCGAACTCGTGCGTGATGAAATCGTTGTACTCGCCGATGCACTTGTCGCACACGCGAGACAAGGTGCCGCGTCCGCCCGTCGTGAACTGGGCCAAGTGGTTGATGTAGAGATAGTGCGAGGTGTGCTCTTTGCAGAAGATGCCGCCGCACTTGCGGCAGTGGTGCCTTCTCTCGAAGAAGTTGAACTTCTTGTGGCAGGCGTCGATGCCGCACTCGCTGACAGCCTCGTCCTTGAGCCAGTGTCTCCGCGTGGGCGCCGCCCGCGAGACGTAGTCGTACTGCCTCCTGTTCAAGGTGTACGGCCCGGTCTGCGGCGGTGGCCCCGGCGACGCGCTGCGCTCGCCGGAGTAGGCCAGGTCGACGGACTTGACGGAAGTCGCCGAGGAGCCCGGCTCGACGGCGCGTGGGTCGGCCGGGCCGCCGAGCAGGTCGCCCGAGCCGGCGCCCTCGCCAAGCGTCTCGTCCACGGTCTTGCGTAGCACGGCGGGCACGTACATGGGGCTGCGGAAGCCGTTGATCTGCTGGAGCCTGTTGTCGGCGCCGAGCAGCTTTGCAGACGCGGCAGAGCCCGCGTGTGCCATCTCGGACGCATGGGGAGGGCCCCGTGCGCCGGGCTCCCGCAAGGGCAAGTTCGTGGAGAGGAGCCCTGGGCGCATGAGGGCCGGGGCGGGGGAGTGGCTCTGGGGCCCGCCCGTGCCGCGCTGGTCGGGCTTGCGGGGAAGCCGGGCGTTGGGGAGGGCGCCCGGAGCGGCCACGTGGGCGCCAGGGCCGGCCAGAACGGGCTTGTCCGGCGCCACGGGCTTATCTGGCGCCACGTGGACCTGTGTCGGCGCGGCGGGGCCGGGCGCCTGTGGCTGCGAGTGGGCCGCACGCTCGACGTGCGCGTGGCTGGGCCGGCTGACATGCGGGTCGGGCCGCGGCGGCGGCGCGGCGGCGTCGCCCGGGCCGTGCTTGCTCTGGCGCGTCAAGCTGGAGAACGACAGGAGATCGACCTCTGCCGGCTGGTACGGCCGCAGTCTGCGCAGGGCCGCGGAGCGCAACACGGGCCGCAAGTCGCGAGGCACGCGGGGCTCCGGGCGCGAGGCCAGGCGCGCGGCGTTGAGCAGCTTCGTGGTGAGCTGCCGCGACTGGGGGCCCTGCTCGTCGTACTCGGAGCGGATGATGGGCGCGAGCGAGAGCGAGAGCTTCTTGAGCGCGTTGAGCGTGAGCCGCTGCTGCTGGAGCGTGGTCTCCTCCTTGTAGCTGTCTGCGTCTGCGTCGGCGTCGTCCGCGGCGGCGTCGTCGGCGGAGCCGGCCAGCAGGGCGGCGGTGTCGCTGTGGTGGGCCCGCTGGGGGCCGGCGGGGTCGGGCCAGCCGTCGAGCAGCAGGTTCCGGCGCGGCGGCGGGTCGAAGGGGAGGCGCTGGCCGATCTCGACGTCGTCCGCGGCGCGCAAGTTGGACACCAGCAGGAGCACGGGCGCCTGGATGAACAGCTGGAAGTTCCTGGTGTTCTGGGACACGGTGCTGGCGTTGCGCTTCAACGGCGGCGGCGGCGGCGCACAGGCCTGCTGCTTCAACGACTTGAGCGACGCGGACAGGAGCACCAGCTGGAACAGCTGCGTGCGCGACTTGGGGAACTCCTTCTTTTTGAACTGGAGGTTGCCGGCGTGCTCCGGAAGGCCGGGCGTGTCGATGTTGTGCGAGTGGGGGGCGTGCATGTGGACGGAGCGGCCCAGCTGGCCGGACGGGGGAAGGTGTTCTGGATCGAGGTTCTGCGAGCTGCCCAGGCGGTGCGAGGTTTCCAGGGTCTCCGAGTCGAGGTTCTGGGAGAGGTCGAGGTTCTGGGAGAGGTCGAGATTCTGGGAGAGGCCGAGGTTCTGGGAGCTCTCCAGTTTCTGAGATCCGTCTAGATTCTGGGATTCGTTGAGATTCTGGGATCCGCTGAGATTCTGGGATCCGCTGAGATTCTGCAAGCTTTCTAGATTCTGTGAACCGTTCAGATTCTTTGAGCTCTCCAGATTCTGGGATCCGTCGAGATTCTGGGATCCGCTGAGATTCAGTGAGCCACTAAGATTCTGCGACCCGCTGAGATTCTGCGAACTTCCCGAATTCTGCAAGCATTCCAGATCCCGCGACCCGCCGAGGCCCGGCGCCGCGAGCTCGGCCTGGCCTGGGCTGCTCGAACCCGGGCCCTGCGTCTTGTCTCGCTGCTGTCCGGAAGGATCCGGGGTTTCGGCCCCGGCCCCCAGCCTGTGTGAGGGCAGTCTGCTCACGTCTCGGAGCAGGCGGCTCAAGTCCCGGGGCAGGCGGCTAAGAAGGGCGCTGGATTCGGCGGGGCGGGCGGATTTCGCCGCGGAAAAAGCCGGCGGCACGTGCCTGGCGGCGTCGGTATCCGTGGCCGCCGGCCGCATGGCCGCCGTGGGCGCGTGTGGCGGGGCGCCGGCGCCCAGAAGGGCCCGGCCGGTGGAGGTCTGCATTGGGCAGGAGGGCGTGGCGAAAAGCGAAAAAAAAACGGGGTTTTGTGGTGGCGGCGGGCGGCTGAAGAGGGGGCGGAGGGGCCGTGCGCTCGCGGGGGGCTGGGCGGGAGAGTCTGTGGCGGCGTGTCCCGAAATCCCGTGTTTTTGGCGTGGGTTGGAAGCGCCTGGAGGGTGCTTATCTGAGAGGCCGTGGGGGTTTGAGTAAGCAGACGGCGGCAGGTGCAGGCGCGGGCCGGGCTGGCGGGTTGGGCGGGCGGAGCGGGGCGGCTGGCCCTAGAGCTGGGCGAGACGGCGCGGACGGGCGAGACGGCAGGATGGGAGCGGGCACGAAGAAAGTGAAGCGAAGGAAAAAACGAAAGAAATGAAAGAAAATGAAGGGAAGTGGAGGGAAGTGAAAGGAAGTGAAGGGAAAAAATGTAAGAAAGAAAAGGAAAAAGTGAAAATGGGTGAGGGAGAGTGAAAGAAAAAATGAAGGAAAGTGAATGGAAAAATGAAGGAAAGTGAATGGAAAAAGTGAAGGAAAGTGAATGAAAAAGTGAAGGAAAGTGAATGAAAAAGTGAAAGGAGGAAGAGGACGGCAGGACCGGAGGATACGAAAAGAGAATGGGGCAGTGAGGGAAGAAAGTGAATGGAAAAAATGAATGACAGTGAATGGAAAAAAATGAAAGTGAATGGAAAAAAATGAAAGTGAATAGAAATGAATGAAAGGGAATAGAAATAAATGAAAGAAAAAATGAAAGTGAAGGAAGAAAGAATAAAGAATGGGGGAGCACGGGGATGCAAGAAATAAAGGCAAATGAGACTCTGCAGCGGTGCTGCTTGGGTCCAACGATGGGTGCTGGCCCGAAAACTATGGGGCGAGGCAGACGAAGATGGCCCAGCCGGTGGGCTGATATGATCCGCGCACGACCGGCCCGGCTCCGGCGCCCGGCTCCGGGGCCCGCTTTGCTTCGCCGCCGGGCCCTGGGGCTCAATTCCCGCTGCCCTCGAGGCACCGCTGCTAGAAAAAGCGACCGTTTTTCTGCGGCGAGGTGTCAAATCAGTGAAAGCCACTGTGGTTTGCTGGCTCGGGCCCGCGGCGCGCCGCAGGCTCTGGGGCAGGAAGGGCCCTATGGCAGAAAGGGCCCTGGGCTTGTTGCTATACTCCGTTTTGGGGCCAAACACAAAAAGCTGCTTTGTAGAGAAATCCGGGGCCATGGCGCTTGCGGCCGCAAAGCAGTGTCTATTCCGCCATCGGACTGGTGTCGTGGTTCCGTACCAGTGTGGGCAGGACGGTTGCAAGCAACAGTCGGAATTGTTCTGCGCGGTGATGGACCGATCCGTGGGGTGTGAAAATTGCGGTGCCCAGACATGATGACCAAACAGTCCGAGGTGATTTGCCTATCAGTGGTGGTTTCTTGATTTAGAGGAATTCAGCAATTTGCTGGAACTGACTAACCCAGTGGAATTACCGATCCGCTGAACTCACCATCTGCTGAAATAACCAATCCGTCGTGGTTGACCGTTGTGCTCATTGTATACGGAAGTCTTGATAAGCATGTTGTACAACTAGCCGAAATGAGCAAAATAACTTTACAACCGATGCGTGATGTGTTCCACAGATATGGAGGTGTTTGGTGCAGTAATTTGGTGACATGTCGTGGTTAGTATGTCGTGGTTGATATACGTCGTGGTCAGTATTTCGTTGTTAATATATGCCGTTGTTAATATATGTTGTTGTTAATATATGATGTTGTTAATATATGTCGTGGTTAATATATGTCGTGGTTAATATATGTCGTGGTCACTATATGTCGTGGCCAGTATAGGTTGTGGTCAGTATCACCTCGTGGTTAGTATTATGCGTAATCAAATAAAGCTGCAAGCAAGTAGGAATCAAGAAGTAATGCGTGGGTGCTGAATAAGTGGCGCTGAATCACATGAAAATAAACAACACGCCGGGACACCATACTTCGTGTTTCACACAGTCGTGATGAACTTTATCAATACCTTCAGTTTAGCAATATCTCCAGTGTTCGACCTCTGATTCACCCATACCTTCACTTTTCCACCTCATGTAAAAACACCTCGTGGCCAACAAAGTGACCTAAGGCTACGGCTGATCATTCTACGACCAAAAGGCTATGCAGCTTGGGACCAACCTTGAAGTATGTGCACCCATAAGCAAATACGCATATTCTGAAGACCTATAAAATCGTGCCCAGCCAACCAATGTCAGCATACCCAAATCGCCAGTGGGCCGACGATCATGAGAAACTTAACTCGGGCATTCGAGTATGGGCTGTTCCCAGAATTCAACACCCATGTGCTTCCTCAGAAACCGCACGCAAGTTCCTGGGACTTGTAAAACCGCGAGTTTTGCAGCCGCATGCCCTCGGCCATAATTACCTATAAATCAGTGTTTTGGTCACATAGCTGACTCACAGAACAATCATCCATACTACCCAGTCTCTATGGGGCCCGTAGAAACAAAAGAGGAAAAAAAAATCAAAAAAAAGTAGTAATAATTAGACAACGTCAATTCAGAAGGGCCATGCTCTGTTGCCCGGGATCATCCATTCAGAGCCTACAAAAAAAGTAATATTAATTAGACAACGCCTATTCAGCAGGGCAATGCTCTGTTTGCTGGGATCATCTATCCAGAGCCTCCAAAAACATAAACAACGTCAATTCAGCAGGGCCATTCTCTGTTTTCTGGGATCATCAGAGCCCCCAAAAAAGTAATAGTAATAATTAGACAACGCCAATCCAGCAGGGCCATGATCTGCTCGCTGGGAACATCAGACCATCCAAAAACAAGAATCATAAGACAACGTCAATCCAGCAGGGCCATGCCCTGTTTCGTAGGAACATTCATCCACACCCTACAAGCCATGGCGAGTTTCCACCAGCCGTCTCCCATGGCTCTCTATACAAACCCGTCTGCTGCCAAAAGAGGCCCCCCACCCAGCATCACTAGTCAACCAGCCCGCTCGTCGGGCCAGCATTGCCAACCAGCCCGCTCGCCCCCGCTAGTCCGCAGCCTCTTCGTCGCCATCCGCCAATCGCGAAATCAACAAGGAGAGCCCCTCAGGCCAGATCGGCCCGGCAGGCGTGACCCTCTCCCGCCACGCCGGGTCCAAGGAAAAACGGAAGCGGCCCAAGATCGCCACCACACATTTGCGCACCTCCATCAAGGCAAACTTCTCGCCCAAGCACGCCCGGTTGCGGCCGTGGAACGCCGTGATCTCACACCGGCTTTTTCTCAACGTGTAGCTCTGCATGACCTCCTTTTCCGTGCGGCCCCAGCGGCCGGGGAGAAAGTCGTCTGCGTCCGGCCAGTGGCCCCGGTCTCGCTGCGTGATCAAGCTGTGGATGCCCACGTAGACGCCTCGTGGAATCACAATGTCTTTGCCCAACCGCACGGGCTGCCGCGTGATGCGGTTCACCAACTGGCCGATGGGAGGATACATGCGAAGCGTCTCGAAAATGACCGCGTTCAAAAGAGGCAGGTCGGGTCTTTCGTCCGGGCCTAGCAGCTGGAGCTGGGCCCGCAACTCCCGCTGCACGTGCGGGTGCTTGGCGAGCATGTAGAGCGTGCTGGCCAAAAGCATCTCGGGGTTCTCGTGGCCGGCCACGAGCGAGATCATGGCGTTGTCCTCGAACTGCTTTTGCGTCAAGTCGCCCGTCTCGACGGCGCGGGCCAACTGCGGCCCCAAGCGCAGGGCCGTTTCGGGGCTTCTCTCCTGCAAGATCTTGCGGCGGAGCAAGGCCTTGAACTCCTGGACCGTGACGCGGGCCCGGGTGCGGGCCGGGATGGGCAAGATGTCCAAAACGGGAAACGTCATGAACATGGGCCGGAAGATCTGCCGCTTCAAGAGCCGCACGCGGGCTAGAATGGTCTGGCCGGCGACCTCCGTGTCCAAGTTGCACCCCATGATACAGTCGCCGATGCACGCCAAAAAGAAGCGCTGGAGGAAGCCGGGCACCACCATGGCGGTCTTTTCCTGGGCCTTCTGGTCAAGCGCACTCATGAGCCTGGCCAAGTGGCCGTCCATGGACAGCGTGTCGGGAAACAAGATGCTGTTGGTCATCACCTTGCGGTACTTGCGCCACCGCTCGTTGCCTGCCGAGATGATGTTGTCGCCGAGGTACTCCAGCACCACGGCGTGCGGGATTTTCTCGTTGTTGCCGCTCTTCTCGAAAACATCGTTGTTTCTCATCACCTGGGCAATGTACTCGGGCCGGGACACGAGGATGTTCCACCGCGAGCCAAAGTACATTTTCACCGCGCCGTACTTCTCCATCTTCGCCCGGAAATAGTGCTGGTAGACCTTTTCCTGGTCCCAGTCCGTGAGCACAGGCACAAACACCACGTAGAACGGGATTGTCGGGATGTTCTTGGGGAAGTTGCTGGGGGGAAGAACGAGCAGGCGCACGAAGTACGCCAATAGCAAGAGGAGGGGGACAAGGAGCCAGGTCATATTCAGGGCGGGGTGTCGTGTGCGGGGTTTGCCGAAAAAGCCAGGCCCTCAAATAGCGCCGGCCGCCCTGTGGTGGAGAAATCCCATTGTTTTATGGGTGCTTTCGAGCGGCCCGTTGCGCATGCCTGATTCGAGGTTTGGGTGCAAAATATTTCTGGCCGAGCAGACGGCCCGCGTAGCAAACCACGCGTGTTCCACCGAAACAGGCCTATACGGAAGCGCGTGTAGACAGGGCCCGGAGGGAATCTCGTGATGGTGTATTATTATTTTTTTTGTTGTTGTTCCGGTTTTGTTATGTTTGCCTGGAAACGGGCTGATACCATGGATCGCGGCGGTTTGAGAGATGGCAGAGACATGGGGTGGTGAGGCGCTGAGAGGTGCTTGCCGTCAAAGAGCCACGGGTTTTTATCGCAGTAATACTCCACGCTTTTTATATAACATGTTCTTCTTTTCGTCATACTCCATGGTCCTTTTCCATCGTTCTTCATGGTGTTGTTCTCACCGTATATCATGGTCCTATTTCACCGTATATGATTATGATTCTTTTTGATCGTTCTTCATGATGTTGTTCTCACCGTATATCATGGTCTTCTTTCACACTACCAATGATGCTGTTTTATACTCCATGGTCCTTTTTCATCGTACTCCATGATGCTGTTTCACCATATATCATGGTCTTCTTTCACACTACCAATGATGCTGTTTTATACTCCATGGTCCTTTTTCATCGTACTCCATGATGCTGTTTCACCATATATCATGGTCCCCTTCACCCTCCCAATGATGCTGTTTTATACTCCATGATGCTCTTCACCGTATATGCTCGATGCACAGGACCCCATAGCAAAAGGTGCAGCGGGAAGAAGCCCTTGCGTATCTTCGTTTCAATTTTCAGTTTTTTGGTAGCACCATAACACTGGATCCAGTTCCTAGTTACAGTACCCAAGAGATAGAGTGAGAGCAGATATAAGACAGGCGGTATATGGGTCCACAGAAAAACCATATAAGTCACAAAGAAAAATTGTATTGGAGAGCCAGTAGAGAACAATGCAGACACCAAGTATCGGAATCTCCTTGCCAATGTATTAGCTAGGGTGGTCGTCCCACCAATGGAACCAAAAGAACATTGCGCAGGATCCCCAGTCTGCTTTATTGCACATGTTCATCATGTTCCCCCTTCCATACAAACAATCCGAATTAAAGAGGAAGCCAAAAAAAAGCGTCTATGATGCCAACGGAGTTCAGTCTCAGGAAATACTATCAACAGGAGCCAGATGTGTTGCCGGACATTTCATACTTTGCTATTGCCCTGCCCAATAGTAGCTTATTGTAGTGGCACACCACCAGGCTGTGATTCAAAGTTCGCCCGCTTTTTGAGTTTCAAACAAGCGGTGGCTTTGTGTGGCCAAACTAAATAGTTCGAATGCCGTTGAAAGAAGCCCACTGCTACCGACATTCCAGTGATGACTCGAAAGGACAACTCATACAACATATGCGCACTTCAGATGGCCCCTCCCATTATCAATCACAGTGTCTTCCGATTAACCCCGACTATGAGGATACTTTTCTTGGGCACAAACTATGACTTCTGTCACCACGAACGAATCCACAAGAATATCTCTTTTTTTTTTTTAGGTGACGATCAAAGTCAGAGGTGTCCTCCCGCGTTCACGAATTCGGCCCGAGCCCTATTTCGGAAATTACAGGGCAGCCCAGAGTGCGCAGTTCAACATTGCCTCGATCGTTTGCAGCCGTGAAGTCCAGCACTTATAAAGCCATGGGAAAATGAAGGAAACAAACAAGGAGCAGACAAAAAAACACAAACAGAGATGAACAAGAAACAAACAAAAAAACAAAAAACAAACAAAAAACAAACAAAAAACAAACAAAAGTATCAGTTGGCGGAAGTGGCACGAGCGCCTCGGAGAAGACCGGGTATGCAGAGCACAGACATCGATGCTCCCTCAACCCAAAAAAAACGCCACCAGAAAATCCCGCCCAGCCATGCCATCACGAGACAAGCCAATAAGAAACCCCCGCAAAAATGCCACGCCTCCGAACACACGGCGCCGGCCGGCCCACGCCGCGCACGTGACCCGTGGTCACGTGCCGGATGTCCCGGGGTTTCGCGTAATTTGCTGCGGTCCCATTGGCTCCCGCGCAGCTGACCCCGGAATCTTCACCTCGCTAGCACCACCCTCACTTAAATCTGCATTTCGCCTTTTGCCTTTCCCTCCACAACTATCGATCTTCCAAAATGCTTTCCCGTGTTGGCTTGAGACGTACGTAATTTCTTTTTTTAGATGCGGATGCAAGTGCCGGGGCACGCCATCGCTGCATCCCTGATCTTGGGAGCGGTTAGGCAGACTCTTCTTCCACCGGATTCTTCCATGAACCAGGAATTTGAAACGAGCCGCCACACGTAGAACATTGACCCAGACAACGGGACTTGGCCGTTTTTTCGTTAGGCCCACATATTGCCGTGATGACACGCAAACTGCGGATTACTAGCAGCAATGAAAAATGCCGCCTGCCTGCTTGTCATCAACAAAGTGCATAACCGCCGGGGCGCCTTACGTTTTCTTGATTCCAGGCCCGGTCCCGCCCAAATGAACATCCAAAAAGGATAGCGTGTTCAAATGCATATCTTGCAAGCCTGGCCAAGCAACAAAAAAAAAGGGAAAATCAGCAAACAGAAAACTCGATCTTTAAGGACGCCCTGAAGTCCCGTGTGCAAAAATGGCCATGGCCTGCAAATGCCACTCCAGCACTTGCCCCACCCACCTCATTATCCCAGACTTTACTAACATTCCAGCTCTCGCAAGATTCCCACTCAGAAGCGCCGCTTTCAGCGCCGTCAGAGCCTCCTCCACGTCCACCGTGAAGGTGTCACATGACCAAGAGCAAGAGCTCCTTGTGAACCAGCGTAAAAACCGTCCCGTGTCCCCCCACTTGACCATCTACACGCCCCAAATCACCATGGTTTTGTCGGGATTGAACAGAATCACCGGTGTGGCCATGGCCGGCGCTTTTTACGCCTTGACTTGCGGCTACGCCGCCACCTCGCTTCTCAGCATTCCTTTCGACTCTGCGGTGCTTGTGTCGGCATTTGCCGGCTTGCCTTTTGCCGCCAAGTTGGCTGCCAAGGCCGCCATGTCCTTCCCCTTTGTTTTCCACTCGCTCAACGGAGTCAGACATCTTGTTTGGGATTTCGGCAAGGAATTGACCATCTCGGGCGTGAACAGAACTGGCTATGCTGTTGTCGCTGCCACTGCTGCATTGGGCTCCTGGATGATCTTCTGGTGATTGGCGAGCACTGACACCCGTGGGCGGGCGTGCAACGGAAACGTTTTTATGTAAGTACTAGAGCATTTATCCAATTGAATGATATTGACGCTGAAGCACGCGTAGACTCCTCCTGCGGTAGTATGTCTCTCAAAGGCGCTGTATCTGTTTTCTTCAACGGGAATGTCAACCCAGCTTGCGAAGTTCCAGTGGGCAGGGCTTTACCAGCAAGACTCATTTTCCCCACATGCAACTCCACTTGATGGCGCCGGAGCTGCATTGTTGTCACTTCTCCCCAAATACACTGTCCGCATCGAAACAGAGACACGGCGCCTCTACACCACAAAAACCACATCTAATCTTCTTGGGTCCCTTAGCGTTTAGCGGCTTGTAGTCCTGCGCGCTGTTCAGAGTGTCTGCTTCACCCTCCGCCGAAAAACTCAGCTTCTTTTTGTCTGTAGATCCCATGCTGCCAGAGAATGGATCCTGCTCGTTTATGATATCTACGTTGACGAGCCCGTCTTCATGTTCAAACACGTCCACGTTCGAAGGCCGTAGAAACCCTGACGTGAAAAAAGAGCTTGGCTTGTCATCTCCAAACAGTGCAATTGAGTGGACCCCATCCAGAAAAGCAGGGAGTTCGGTGTTGGGCTCCTCTGTTGCAAGTGGCTCAAAAAAAGCGGTCGAGGGAGAATAGGCGAGATTCTCGGGTTCCGGGCCTCTGGAGTCCTTGGAGTTGACGCTGACAAAGGGCGACTGAGAGCCTGGATGGTTTGCTTTAAGGTCCAAATAGTGTTTGATCTGCAGCTGCACACGCGTGCCCTCTTTCAGGGAGTCGCCAACAAACTTCTTGGTGACACTGTGTATGACGTTTGATTGGGTCGTCAAGTGAGCCAAGAACGCGTCTAGATCCCGCACGTTGTTGATGTGGTCAAGCTGGTCCGGAGGCGGAGGCGACTGCGCCCGGGGCCTGGCGGAGGGACTCGAGTTTAGCGCATCGAACGTGATCACGCCGCTTTGCACGAACCGGAGCTCCTTGATCTGGTTGGTGAGGATATCGATGTAGTTCTGCACTAGTTCCTGTTCCTTCAACTTGGCAAGGTACGTGGACTGGAGCTCAGCCACGCGCTTGGGCGGCACTGCCAGCAGGGACGCAGCGGGCACGCTTGGCTCACCGTTGGGTCTCAGAATACCGAGGAGTTCACGCTGTTTGGCCGGTGTGGACGCGTGGGCGCCTGAGCCAGAGGCCGCCGGCGTCATGGATCTCAGCCTGGCCGCAACAAAACGCCTGGCTTCTGTGGCGGTGGAGGCAGAGCCCGCAGACGCGGCGGAGCCGGAGACGGACATGGGCACGGCGTGGACCGCGCTGTGGAGACTGTTGCGAGTTGACGCTGGCGGCAGCAGCCTGGCGGCGACTTTCAGGAGCCTGTGTTTCTTGTGGGCCAGGCCCTTGCGGTCGTCATCCAGGGACGCTGGGGCGCCAGGGTTCGGTGCCCCCTGCACGCACAGCGGCTTCCTGCCCGGGCGAGGCCTGGGGGGCAAGACCCACTTTTTCAGGGTGTTGATGCTTGCCGCCGGCAGCTCGTCGCACACAAGAGCCGGCAGCGGCGAGGACAACGGGTTGTAGCGCGGGTTGAAGGAGGATTTCAGCGGCCCCAGGGCGGCGCCCGGCGGCGCGCCGGGCTTCGGCTTGATCGCTATGGCGGGCTGGATCTTGGCGTATTTGTGTGCCGCACTGCCCACCGGCGCGGGCAAGATCCCCGGTTTGTGGAGCGGGGTCATGGCCACCGGCGGCGCCTGTTTGGGCGTGTAGCGCCCGGGTGGCGACCCGGGCATAGCAGTGGCGGGGGCTAGGCGCCCGGGATTCGCCGGGGTCTCAGGGGCGGCCGGCATTTTTGTGTCCCTGGCGGCCTGCGGGGTGCCCCGGGGTGTTTGCGTAGAGCCTGGGAGATTTGGCTGGGGACTGGGCGGCATTTTGAATCCAGGGGGGGCATCCAAAAAAGCCCAGCGCTTAGCGGCAAGGAGGGGCGTGCGGACACAAAAACAAATGAGCTAAGTAGGGGAAAAAAAAGGCCGGGCCAAGGAAGAGAGAAGTAGGTGCTGGCAAAAATGATTCTGGTCAGCGGGGCGCCTGTGGTGGATTAGGGGTGGGCGTGGATATCCGAAAATCAATGAGAAGGCAGTAGTTCATATATATTTTTTTTCCGGGGAAGCTGGCCCTGGACCTGCGGAAAAGAACGTGCATGTATATGGGGGCGCGATTCTTAAAGTGAGACATGTTCGGGGCCAGGATCGGGGCCAGGATCGGGGCCGCGTTTTGAAGTGGCCGCGGGTTTCCGGAAGCTGGGCGAACCGTGGGGCGGCGGAGGGAAGTGGGAAAGGCTCATGTTCTAGCTTGCAGAATAAATGGAGAGGCGGATATAAATGTGAGGGGGGAAATATGAATATTCATGAATAGACGATTCGTTGATTCGTTTGATGTATTCGTTTGATGTATTTTTTGATGTATTCGTTTGATGTATTTTTTGATGTATTTTTTGATGTATTTTTTGATGTATTTTTTGATGTATTTTTTGATGTATTTTTGATGTATTTTTGATGTATTTTTTGATGTATTTTTTGATGTATTTTTTGATGTATTTTTTGATGTATTTTTTGTTGTATGGTTTGTTGTGTTGATTTAATGTACTTGTTGTATCATGTGTTCGAATAATACTTTGTTTATGTCTCGTGTATTTTGTTCTTGTATTAGTTTGTTCTTGTATTAGTTTGTTCTTGTATTTGTTTGTTCTTGTATTTGTTTGTTCTTGTATTTATTTGTTTTTGTATTCGTTTGTTCTTGGTTTGTTCTTGTATTTGTTTGTTCTTGTATCTGTTCGTTCTTGTATTTATTTGTTCTTGTATTTATTTGTTCTTGTATTTGTTTGTTCTTGTATCTGTTCGTTCTTGTATTTATTTGTTCTTGTATTTATTTGTTCTTGTATTTGTTTGTTCTTGTATCTGTTCGTTCTTGTATTCGTTTAACCTTGTATTCGTTTAACCTTGTGCTCAGTTTTCTCGTAGCCAGCTACTCTTGTATTCATTGGCTCTATATTCATTTATCGCTAATTACTTATTTGCCTATTGTTCTTCCTCCTCTGTTTTGCGGATGTCGAGAATTTGGGCCCTTGGATGCAAATGTGCGACCCATCCCCATACCATTAGCAAGCGGCCCTGCCTATCTCAAGGGAACACATTATACTTCGTGATTGTTTTGATGTAAGAAATATGGAAATTTGGGCCCCACGCCCGTGCAGCAGAGAGAGACGGCCCTTACCAAGCAATTGGTATCGTGCCTTTTTCGTAGTGTTGCATACTGAGAACTCATAAATCTGTGCCTCAAGAAGTACATGGCAATCTAAACCAATAGGCGTAAGTCTTTCGACCTGAATTAGGGTCATATATATCTGTGGTTCCCAGAGATCTGCTCTGCGAAGAAATTGAGGAATATTTGATGACTCCAGAATAATTGAAAAACCTCATGACTGAAGGATACATCACCAACTGAAAAATCCTATGACTGAAGAACATTTTTAAACTGTTGAAAAACATCTCATTGGCTAAGAAATTCCAGGACCGACGAAACTCAAGATTCAACCATTGGTTTAAACTCCAACATTCCAGCTACACCCTACAAATGCCCAATACACATCAGAAATTATCTTCTACAGCCAACGCAACTTTCTAAAATCACCTTTTATGCCAAGGAAATGACAGCCGAGAAACAATCGTGGATTTTAGAGAGATGGATCTTTCAGCAGCTCTTATGCGGGGGAGGGAATCGAAACAGCCTGTGCGAGAATAATATTGTAGGGCACTCCGTATATCTAGCACTATATCAAGCTTTTCGTCCACACCTTTTAGTCAAAATGTCAAATAGTCGGGTGAGACCTTGTACTTGATCGAAACAAAAATATTATTTATTGGGTATCATTCGGTGGTGGCCAGTTTGAATTAAGTCAAAGCCTGGAGAAGCGTGCTCGTACTCCTGATATTCTGTCCTAAGCTTTCACCGAGTGTAGTGTTGCTTCAAACTTTATCCAATGTAATAACTACAAGTCACTGATTTATAACTACAGACAAAGAGAGTCCATTCATGAGTTACAAAGCAATAGATCCAACCATGTTAACAGTTGAAATGAAGGAGGCATTTTAATGGAGGTTTGGCTTGAAGGAACAAGGCTGTATGGGTGGAATGCTCGTTCATGCCCAAGATGATTTCCAATCCGTCTTGTTGGACCCCTTAATGCTTGATTCAGATAAACACACGCAAAGATTAATGCAACAGGCAATGGATTGTGATGTCAATTAGAAATAGACTGCAAATTTTCCTCAGCTGCATTCATGTGGATATAAAATCACACAAACATCTCAAGGCTCGGCACTTTCCAGATACTTCCCATGCCAATACACCTCGTATTTTTCTATATACGCTTTTATAAAGTCAACGTCAACCTATAATTTAGGGCCACTTTTTTGCTTTGGACCGATCCAATCACAATCACAAGAAACGGACGCTAACGACTCTCGCCTCTGGACCATATCATAGGAGCCCCATGCTATTTCGTAAAAATTATGTGAAGACATCTGGATGGCCACCAAACAAGATCAATAATCCCAATATAGATACTGAAGCTAGATGATCAGAAGAGAATTCAATACGGAGTATCGCATAATGAACAATCTGACGCGCACAACATCAACGAGAATAGCGAATGACTTCATAATCCGCCTTCCCAACATAAAACACACCTACCTTCATTCCACATTTTCACTTGTATATTTTTCATTTGTATATCAAATTGTCTACCATAGCCATCCATCGAGACATCCGCAATAGCTATTTATGTCGGGACATCCACCCATTCATTCGAAACATTTCCAGGCTCTCGTGATTGACACCCGTACACCAGCAAGAACATTATAATCTTGAACCAGAACAGCTTTCCTTCTTCACCGCATGTCTCTACAAGATAAGAAAAACGAGCAGTTGAGCCAGCTCAGTGAGCAGGCGGCAGTGCTTCATTCGAATCTATCTTCTTTGGACTCTTTGGTGAAGGATGCGTGTTATCAACATGAGCTGATGCAACTGCTAGGCATGATGCATGGGGCCTTATTTATGGCCAGCCACCAGGTTTTTGGCAACCAGATGATTGGCGACACACACACTGAATCGGCTTCGGAAGACGAGAATTGAGAAGAAAAAAGACGCGGCTTGCTGATTGGACTGTAGAAGTTGGAGCTACGGCCGGAGCACGTGTGGTAGAGAGATAAGGGATCAGAGGACAGTTGTATGCTTGGTGTATTCTGTAGTTCCCTTTTGCAAAAAGACCCCAAAAGAGACTGCATGGATGGAAGAGATGATGTGCCACGTTCTTTTAGAGATTTGGGTTTTGGCGGGTGACTGGGAGTGTCGCTCGAGGCTATACCGGATTTAGGCCCGACCGTCCAGGTCGCATGAAATTCGCCTTGGAAACCCCAAGATGCAGATTGCGAGAATGGTCTGATTTAGTGCAATGGATCGAGCTTGTGCAGAGTCACATGCATTGGGACGACATCACAGGCATTGGAGGAAGAAGCCCGTGTTGCCAGACAATGAGGTGGGAGAACGACACCGAATGATGGGGATACAAAGACCACTGGGAAATGGAATCTGACTGAGATGGCGTTGGCCAGTTTATTGGACCGTACGATCGGGTGTGTCCCATGTATTTGGGTATACCATCAGACACGTATCCCATGTATTTGGGAATACCATCATACGCGTATCCCATGTACTTGGGAATAACATCCGACACGTGTTTCTCCATGAGGTGTACCATCAGCTGGGTATTTCCTTGTCTTTCAATTATACTACCGAGCCTGCCACCCTCAAATGGTCTATGAACCCCAGCCCGCATTTCCCCACCCGGTCCGGCTCCATGAGCCCATCAATACCGGCCAACATAGCATCTATGCAAGCATAAATCTGCAATGCTGCCCGGCACAAGATTCGAGGTTCGACCCGCAGCTGTGGATACGCCAAATCCCACCCATTGCAGCCACACATCAGAATCTTTCTTTCCAAAAGTGCCACAGCGAGACACGGAGCCCCACGAAAGCAGGCCTCGGGATTCTAAGTGGAACCCGCTGATTCCTCGATATTCTATTTACATGCTCCGGCCACGCAGCCTGATATGATGCCGAGCCCAGCCCACACAACGCAGCCCGCCAACTCCAAATGTCCGACTTCAGCCGGCGCCGCTCAAGCGGCATCCGCGCCGGTTTTGCTGGCCTCGGCACGCGCCGCCGCCAACCGCTCCCGGTATATTTTCTGCTTGATTTTTTTGTCTGCAATCAAGATATCGCGCTCCTGGTCCAAATACTCCATGGTCTGGTACTTTGCCACGCAGCCCAACTGGGCCTTGTTGATTCCCTCGCACTTTGCCATGGCCTCGATGGGACTTTCGTAGCTGTTGGAGCATGCCACGTACGCCTTGATGAGGTCGTCACAGCGCTCAAACGTCTTTTTCCGCCAGCGCTCGAAACACACCTGCTCCTCTTTCGGCGTGAGCACCCAAACGGGCAAGTTGGGGTTTGTGGGAAGATCCCTGTTGTCGTAGGGCTGCTTACTCATGGTTGTGTGGGAGGTTTCTTGCAAACCAATGGGGTATTGTATGGGTAGAGTTTGGAGGGGCGGGTGGAGACGAAGGCGCGGGCCGATCGGCATTTTTTCTGGCGGCCGGCGCACGTGACCCGCGGCTGGCCACGCCCGGTGTTTGAGAGCTGGTTGGTGTAACTATGTGATGCCTGGAGGTGTATGGTGTCGGGTTGATTGTGTAGTTTTCGGTGATGGTTTGGTGTGTATTGGTGTTTTATGCTGGTATTCGACTACTGGGATTTGGCGCCTTGCAAATATTGGAAGTCCACCAGTGCTTGATATCTACTAGTGCTTGATATCTACTAGTGCTTGATATCTACTAGTGCTTGATATCTACTAGTATTTGAAGTCTTACTGATCTTTGAGTGTGATAGTATTTGACGTGTGACATGTACTAGTATTTGACTCTACTTCTATTTATTATGTGCTAGTATTTGACTTGGAAGTCTACTACTATTTGATATCCACTAGTATTTGACCCTACTAGTATTTGACTCTATTAGTATTCGACTATACTAGTATCTGGTGTCTACTACTAGTATTTAATGCCTTGCAAATATTGAAAGTCCACCAGTGCTTGATATCTACCAGTACTTGGTGTCTACCAGTACTTAACATCTACCAGTACTTGATGTCTACCAGTACTTGATGTCTACCAGTACTTGATATCTACTAGTATTTGAAGTCTTGCTGATCTTTGACGTGTGCTAGTATATGACTACTAGTATTTGACGTGAATCGTATTTGTCGTGTGCTAGTATCTAAAGTGTGCTAGTATTTGACTTGGAAGTCTACCACTATTTGATATCCACTATTATTCAACTCTACTAGTATTCAACTCTACTAATATTTGACTCTACTAGTATTTGACTCTACTAGTATTTGACTCTACTAGTATTTGACTCTACTAGTACTTGGCGTCTACTACTAGTATCTAACGCCTTGAAAATATTGGAAGTCTACTACTATTCAATATCCACTATTTTTTGACTCTACTAGTTTCTTACTCTACTAGTTGGACTCTACTAGTATTTGACGATCCTGAAATTCGTCTACCAATGTGCCGTCCCTAGTATTTGATGTGGTCTGACTCTATTGGTGTCTGATGTCTGCTTGTACCCGGCGTGGTCTTTTTTGTTTGGCATTTGGCATTTTGTTTCAACTGACTCGGCGTCTTACCAATACTTGATGTCTAATGAATCCTGTATTTGAAGCCGTGCCCCAATGTGATGGACTAGTAGTATTTCTTGTGAATCCTACTGTTGGAAGACCTCCTGCTTTCAACGGCCCACCACTACTTTGTCACTATTGTTTTCTGCCTCGAGATGTCCCAGACTCTTCCGGCCTTCGATCATCAATAATTCAACAGATAAGACTCCTTGAACTATTTTAAATAGACATTTATATAAATATATAGAATTCAGAATTCAATGGTGATTCATTATTTGGCCCGGGGCCGCGGTGCGGCTTGGCCCCACTTCTTGGCCGGCCAGGGCCCCGCCCTATAAGCGCAAGATCCAGCCATATACTACCCCCGACCTGTTCATCCACAAGGTTCCACAAACACAAAGACACCCCCAATTTTCTTCGCCATGCTTTCACAAACAGATATTCGACTCCCAAACTCGCAAAATATACACTGCCCACCCAGATCTCGGGCCTTTCACAGTGGCTAATATATAGGAAGATCCAACGCGGGGCCGCGCGGCCCTATTTCTGGAACGCGCGCGAGGCTCAAAACACATCAGACGCACCAACGCTAGTACATCATTCCAAAACCACACCCCAAAACCACACAAAAACATCGCAAAAACCACGCAAAAACCCCCAAAACCCCCAAAAGACACACCAAAAAAAACACACCCTATCGAGCTGGATCTCGACATTCACACGCCCTGTTTTTTGGCACATCGCTCGTGCTACTACCCGCCAGACGCCACCACTGCAAACGGACGCGGCCATGCTCGATGAACCGCCCGAAAAGCTCATCAGCCAGGCCGTCGAAAACTTCGAAACGCAGCCGGACGTGGCCTGCATCGGCAGGTTCAATGAGCTGGCGCAAGGCCTCAGCGCGGCGTGGAAAAACGAGGAGAATCGCATGCAAGCTGCCGTTTCGGCGCTCGAAAACGAGCTCCGGTCCATCCTTGCACAAACCGACGTGCTCAAGCAGCCCACGGACGAGGTTTTCGAGCGGCTCCACCTCCCCAAGCACAGCGCCGGCGAGGACGCGCAAAAACCCGATGCTCTCAGCATAATCCACCAGCAAACGGCCAGTTTGGACAACAAGAAGATCTCGTTGGCCAAGCAGCTCACGGAGATCGAGAGCGCACTAATGCAGGCGCGTGCTGCCGAAAGGGAGTTGGCGCAACGTGAGGCGGAGATCTTGGAACAGAGGGCCGCAGCGTTGGCCACCAATGCCGCCACCAACGTGAGCCTGGCCACGATGCGAATCATGCTTTTCAAGAAACTCGGCATCCACATCGAGGACGCCGGCGCGGGCGGCAACGACAAAATCGTGATGTTCAGTGAAAACTCGAGTGCGCCGCCCAAGACGCTTGACGTGGATCCCAAGTTCCTGGACTACTTCATCAGCAACTACATTTGGGATGAAATTGGGAACAACGCAGAGGACTAGAGAAGGGCCTTTATCCTTCCAGGCAGATTTGCGGGTTTTCAGGTTTTCAGGTTTTCAGGTTTTAGATTTCCAGGTTTCAGATTTGCATGTTTGCGGGTTAGCAGGTTAGCAGGTTTTCAGGTTTTCATGTTTGCGGGTTAGCAGTTCAAGGGCAAAATAGCGCCTTGAGTCAGGCCGGTCTCTGACCTCGGGTACACTGGGAACAGCCAAGCATCTGTGCCGCTTTGCCCTTTGCTTCGGCGATAACCAAAGTCGGATGGACCATAACATACTTGTCTTCCAGCAGCCGCAATCATCGCAAAGTCCTACAATCACTAGCACTTCAAACTTGGCTCGACACCCCGGCAGATCGCCCGAGGGAATTTTCTGTGCTGCTGCATGAGACAGATCGAATATTCGTGGTTATTCAGTAGGTATGAAGAGATGACTATTTACACGTGCAAAGGGCCACACATGCCGCAAAAGCCCCCAAAACACAAGAGCAGCACGCCCCAAGGCAAGAGCATAACACGACGGAACAGCTAAAAGTATTTTGGGTTTTCCCGGAAGGTGGTCCTGGTCCATTTTGGCACCAAGTGCACGGACTTTCTGTATCCCTTGACCTTCTTGTCGAAAGTCGTGTACTTGTCCCGAGCCACCATGTCTTTCTCCCTAGGCAAGTTGAAGTAGAGGGCGTCGATTTTCTTGCAGTTGGTGGTCTCCTCGCCGGCCGCCTTCAAGGACTGGTACAAGACATCGATGTTCTGGTCCACGAGCCTCATGCGCTGCTTCAACCGGGATTTCTGGGGCATGGAAAGCCGGGGGGCCTTCTTCCAAAGGTAGCCTCCCTGGGCGGCAAGCGTCGATTTGAACGCACCAAACATTTTTGTGTGTTTAGTAGGTTTGGAGATGGAAAATCGTGCCTTGAGCTTGGTGAATTTTTCGCGTGCCCGAGGGGCGTGCGCGGCACGAGAATTGGCGTCACCGGAAGAAGTTCCTTTCTTTCAGCCACGACAAGAAAACAAATCAAAGCGTTGGATTATTTGAGCGAGTAACTTTATACGAGCAACTCGATGATTTTGTTGAAATATTGCTCAAAACCCTCCCGGCCCTCTGTTTATGAAGCACAGCAGTCGCGCTAATCTAAGCTGATATGCGTCCGCGAAGGCCGCTTAATAGATGTCCGTCAAGATAAATGAGTATCGAACGAAACAAACTTCAGATTAAATGAGCAGATTAAAAAAACACTCACGGGGTCGGCGCTAAGAGATGGACCAGTGCACGTCTGGTCGGCATTGAGTTTCGAAATCTTGTCCTTGAATGCGCATGGTGGGAAGCTTAACCCAACGCCCACAGCGATGACAGCATGGATGGAGGACTCTCACCTGGTAGGCTTTATGGAACAGAAGCATCAAGTCTGGACTAGAAAATGACACGGTGGTTTTTTAGTGATACGATAGCTTTTCGTTCCAAGGCAGACGCTTGCTCCTGGCACTAAAAGTGTGACAAACCTTTTCCTGCGCTTTTTTGGGCATAACCCAGTCGGTATGCTAGTTGGTGTTCGTTTTAGGAGACCCCTCTAGAAAGGACCCCTCAAATGGCCCTGGCACAGAAAGTGCATCATCGTCTGCCCGACGAGATCTCCCCAGCAAAACACTGGCACATTTCATCGGCACGTCTTTTCATTAACAAATCCAATACGACCACGCCCATCAAATCTGAAGCACCTTGGAGAATCACTGGCACGATTGAGCGAGCAGACATCTTTGAGCGGTGCGATGAGGTGGGGACGAGAAAGTCACGCAAAAGCCGTTGAAAGCCGTGTCCGGCAAAATCACATGTGCTGGGATGCTATCCAGTGCTCATCAAAATTTCCCATTTTTTCAGGCCTGTCACAACAAGTACAGAAGCGTGACATCAATCCAAGGCTCTGTTTGGGTGCGGGGCTCGCTGGCTGCGAAATATCCGCGCAGCGGCCACTTGGCCATCGACTCCAGCAGGCCAGTTCATCACGTGAGTCCCCGTGGTCTGCACGGGCCGGTTTCCTCTTGGGTCCAGGCGCCACGTGATCCCCAGACATTTCATCAAAGCTTATTTACGAATTTAGTGGCCAGCCCTCGCCCGAAGTGCACAGGAACAGAGCGTGCTAATTGGGGGCCACTGGCGAATTGCGGGCCCCGTGGCATGGAACGCCGCACTGCGCAATTTGCGCCTAGGCCCCGTGGCAGCGCTGCGGCCCTGGCCCTAGCCCTAAGCCCACGCAGCCCTGCCTTGGGGCCACGCCCACGTTTCCACCAATTCTGGTAATTTGGGCGTGGAAAAAAAGGCCCCAATTTGCGCGTATCATATTGTGCAAGCGAGAACAAGGCTCAAAACAAGAAAGTGCCATGGGGCCTCAGCTAGGCTAGCCGCCCATTCACCAGTTGGAAGGGGCAGGCTGTGGGGAAATACAATTAGGGGCAGATTTCATAGGGGCAGATTTCATAGGGGCAGATTTCATAGGGGCACAGGGGCTTATTTTAAAGGGGCGTGCTACAGAGGGGTTAAGCATATGGGGCTCCGATGGTGTCGATGTGGTGGTGCGAACGCACACCCGCACAAAGCCAAGAGTGTTGGGTTATTGTTTGTAGTTTCTGTTTTCAGAATTAGGGTTGTTGGTGTCTGGGTGTGTGGCTCTGGTTTGCAGGTATCTCTGAGTTGGATGTTGGGGTTGGGGTTCAGCCAGCGCGAGCAACCACCCCGGAACTGGAGGTGCGCAACGCTAGCATTGCTAAATCCGGGCCTTCCCCGATTCGGGTCGATCGCAACACCCTCGGAACTCGCGCCGCCAGCATGAGCAACGTGGGGCTGGGTCTTCTGTGTGCACACCCGCGTGCAGCATAATCTAGACAATCTAGAACATTCGAGGTGCCTGCAGTAAATGGATATGCGGTTACAGCGAACGTGCAAAAAGGAAAGAGAGAAAATAGGGCGTCGCATGGCGCCATAATACGCCCGTCTGAGCAACATCACGTGTTGCCAGAGGATCAGCCAGCAGCCCCAAAAGCCTACAAGCGCAATCTAAGAAATAATCTTTTTGGTATTCTATTAAACCCTATTTACCTGTAAAACCCATTTTTTTACCTTTTTATGCTGGCGGCGTATCTGAGTGATTGCCCGTGGCGACTAGTCGCCTTTTTTCGTTAAAAACTGAACATCTTTTTTTGTGTTTTTTCCGCTTTTACTTGAACTGAATAATTTTTTCGTATAACTTTTCTTTTGTGACCCATCCACCTTCACATGCCGCTCAACCACAAGCGGTAGTTCTGGGAGGTGGAGGATATGACCTTGTTTTGGGACAAGGGCTGGCTAATGGAGTAGTTCAAAGAAAAATCAGCCATGTTGGCTTCGCTGCGGAGGCTGGTGGGTAGTAGCAAAGGAGACCCGATGGATTCAGCCAGAGGAAAATATTGATTTTGCTGGTACAATGAAGGTGTGAGCAAGGGCGATGCAATATCAGCGTTGACAGACTGAAGAATCGAACTAGACTGCTGCTCATCTTGCTCTTTGCAAGCTTGTGAACAGTAAACGGTGTTTTCACTGCATAACTGATCACAGGTGATACAGTAGGAGTTGAAGGCGTCAGAGTCCATTTTGTTTATTTTTTTGAAAATGTGATGAAGTTTAGAATGACGGCTCTTGCAAGGGAAAGTTGCCAGTGGCGAAGGTTGCTTTTTTTTCCAAACACGGCTGTAGAGTTAAAGCCGAGAGAAAGCGCTGAGTTATAGCGGGAAAAAAGTTTTCTGTTGGAGTAGAAAAAAAAGTTTTTGAGGATTGAAAAATTTACCAGGCTGGGAAGAGCAGACGGGCGGCGTGGTTATATATCAATACCGTGCCACGTTCTTATTTATAGAAGATCTAGAAGTGAGTAATCGAGGGAGAACCGGGGGCAACCATGTGCGCAAATTGCGGGCTCGACCGGACTCGGCAGCCCCCGGAACTCGATACCCGGGGGTGCCACGCGCATTGCGCGTTGCGTACAAATGCACCCTGGTGGCCGTGAGCTGTCTTTTTTTTTTGTGGGGTTGCGCAATTGTGTCTCGAATTTTCCGTGCCGGCCTGCAAGAAGCTTTGCGCAACGAATCCAAGTGTTCCGGGCAACAACCTAAATTTGGTTTGTTGGGTGGATTTGTATTGTTCAAAATAATGCTAGTAGAAGGTAGGATGTTCTTTTAATGGAAGATGTGTAAAATGAAAAGAAATGCATATCATGGCCCAGAATCCACTCTTTTGTCTATTGATGTTCTGCTTTGGGCTGTTTTGTTGTTCGGCAGGCACGCGTGCCTCACGGGGCGGCCAATTGTGACGAATATGCTCGATAATAATTTCGTAGGTTCTGCCGCAGCCGATTGCCCGAATTAGGTGTTCACCCAAACACATGGTTTCGGTTTTGATCTGAAAACACGATAATGGGCTTGAAACACACATGAAACACGCGTCACTTGAATTACCCTCACTGCCATTCTCCGCACTTCGGCCTCATGCGATCAGAGCCCTGGTGCAGCTCCACCCGGGTCTGAAAAAAAAAATCGCACGTTTTCGGATGTTGCGAATGAACCAGAATGTCCTAGAAGATTAGATGACAACAATGAGCCGCAAGATGTGCGTAGATGAGTTGACCTATTTTTTTTTTTCTGAGAAGAAAAACTTTTTACATTTTGAAGTGTTTGTTAAAGATAAGAGATTCACATAAGCCAGCACTCCCCGGAAGGCCCAACGCTTGTTCCCCACAAGTCCGGAATTGGGCTTCGAGGGTGGGGTGTTCGGGCTTGCAAAGTTTAATTGTCATAATCTCGGCCAAGGACCCCCGGAAGTCGGCGCACCCTCGGTGGTGAATCATCATGAAGTTTTTTTTTTTCGGTGTCTTTCCGCAATTGCGAAGTTTCCTCTAGCCGGACTAGTGGATCAGATGTTTTTGTTTTCATTTACTAGTGCTTCCTTTTTCATAGAAACACTTCATTTTTTATGAGCAGGAGGAAAACGAAATATGCTTTTCTCATCTCCCGAATTATGTAATTCTCCAGTAAATTTCCTATTACTGGTTCCGCCTCGCCAGGCCGTTTTTATTGGCTTGTTGCGGAGCAACATATCACAGGTATTTCGCAATTCCACATCATCTCATCGCTACGTTTTGAAACATCTTAGTAGCAACCACAGAGACTGGAGGTGGTGCGTAGACGAGCTGCAGGTCGCGAAAAACTAGTAAGGCCCGCCGCCGGGCAAGCTGGCCATCGGGGGAGAATTTCCAACTATAAATACATTATGTTACTCCCAAAAACAGCCCCAAATACACTTCTTTCTCATGAACACGTTATCCTTGCGATGCGCTGTTTTCAACTTTGATATGGATCGCAGATCAGGCATGAAAAAGGTTGTCATACAATTACGACGGAGTGCACCCTTCTCCGGATGCCTTCATACAGATTTGCGCCGAGGCTCTGCGAAAATAGGTGAAAGACAACAATACGACCTGTACACAACTGTCAAGTTTGGTCATTCTTTTGATCCGAATGCACGTCCTCTCTCAAAGACTGGGCTGTGGCAAGCCCGCGAGCTGGCTGTATTTGCATGTCTATGCTGCGGACAAATGCAGAGGATGCGGAAACCAAAGACATGGTGATCGCCCCGCTCGGTGTGACTCGAGACTGCCTTGTTTGTTCTAGCCAGACATTTGACCAAGTGCTCTGAACGATGTTTCCTTGTGCAACTGGCGAGAGAAAAGTCTTTAACATATATTTACGCCCATCAATTGGAATGGGAATTATCATCCAAATGATCAGTGCGTAACATTGTCTGGACTCTTAGATACTACCGTTTCTTCACTTCTAGTAGGACCTTTGGACTTGTCGCCGGCATCCGAATTCGGGCGGCCTGCACTGGCAGAGAGCAAGCCTGGATTAACGGGCGGCCCGCGTGCCTGTTACTACACAGTTCAACTTTACCAGGCGTATTATGTACCACGTCTGCTGGAACACATCAGCCTCGGAAGATCTATCGATCCCTGATGAGTGATCGGGTATGTGAGCACATGGAAAATAACAAACCCGTGTAAGAAACGAAGGGATTAGCAGCCAGTCATTTCTGAAGCCAACCGACGCGCAGCTTCAATCTTCTAGCCTCATGATCATGCCGTTTTGAACTTGTATTTGAGGCCATGGAGACCAAGGATCTCCTGCGATACGTCCCGATACCATTTTCGTATCAAGGCCACAGCAACTAAATTGACTACTGGAAGCACGAGTAACATATCGAGCGCCTGAAAGCGATGTGCCGCGTACACCCGGCACAAAAGCTGGATGAGTACTACCGTATTCAACACTAGAATGCCATAGAACGAAAAGATATGCGTTGACACAAACACAAGAGATCTGAAACGAGGTCCATCAAATGTCAGCAAATACGCACACAAAGACCCCGCAGCTGCGGTTTCAGAAGGCTGCTTAAAATCGTAGAGGCAGTTCACTAGTGTCAACACGTGACATACGATTAGCAATGCCACCGGGCGGGTCCCGCCAACCGAGTGTTTCATTGCAAACACCGAAACAGGGATCTCTAGAAGAATTGACCCTACAAGCACCTTCAAAAAGAGGCGAAGCGATGTATCGTTGTAGTTGGCAAGCTGTACTATAAGTTGTTCCTGATCTTCTGAATCGAGCGGTGTTATATCTGCAGCTTCAGTTAGAATGGCCCGGTCTAGCCGGCGGAGACGAGACATTGTGAGCGTTATGTAAAATGAGGTTCCGAATCTGAGTAGCATATTAATAGTTACAAGAATTGGCGCCTCGTTGATGAGGGATGTACGGATGTACCAGGACTTCCCGTGTTCAGGCTGGGGAAAGGAAAAATGCAGTTGAATTGACGGTGCCAATGCAAACGTGCTGTTTTTTATTGATAGTAATGAATAATGGCTCATGGTGAAAAAACACAAATCTGCATGTTTGTATTAGTCAGGTTGTAAAACTTGAGCGCTAATAAAAATCGATTTTTCCGTGTTCTTCCTCAAGAATTCAGAGTCAAGCCAATCTTTATTGAGTTTTTTGTGTAGTCACGTTCTGCCTCTATGATAAACAAACACTTTGGTATTATTGTATGGCTGGCTCAAGTATGTAACTTAGTCACTAAATCCTGGGTCCATCCTGAAATACAGATATCTTTCCTAATTTGTTGATACTCGAGTCGAAATCATTTGTAAACGAAGATATGGGACAATAAATCTGACTTCGACTACTTCCGTGGAGTGGTGCTCAGAAAGGCCCATGGGGCGGGACCGATTTACTAGAAAAAGAACAAGTCTGCGGATGAATAAAAGTGTAGGTCGTCCCATTCAATATAGAACATACCGCTATATTCTCAATCCGTCATACCCCCAGCCTAGAGCTTGCACTGGTAGGCATGCGTTTGTGAAGCGCTTGAGAATCTATTCATTTCAGAATCCAACTTTGGGGTCGATCGTGTCTTTTGTTTGAGAAGCAAGACAAAGGTTTTCGCGTAGGACGTGGCCTACCGATGAAGAGAACAGACTGGGCAGCTTTCTATATCATGAACATATTTCATCTTTTTGGGCGGCCTTCCACTCTAGAATGTGACTATTGAGAACCATGGATGAAGATACCCGACAAAGGGATTGAAGGTCCTGTGAGCTGGGCCTTTCAGTTGCCCATCAATTTTCAGGAAATGTGCCGCGATCCAAATCTCTCCTACGTTTCCCTTAAAGCTTGGCGATCATAGTGATAAACTTCCAAGGATTCTTGAGGTCGAGATATGACCGACTATTTCGGTCAGATTGTCTTGTCCCACCATTCCACTTTTCTGCTTTGGCGCGGGTGCAGTTACTGCTTTCAAACTGTACAATGCCCCTATATCTGGTGAAAACGATGCTCAGAAGAACTTGCGAACGGCGCTGATTTCAGCCCAAATTTGAGTGGCACATTTGTGGTATTCGCTAATGGAGCAGGAACAAGGCAAATACTCTCATTTTTCATAGTCTCCTAATAGTTGAAAGAACGTCACAATTGTGATGTATAAATGCGGGCAGTCTATTCAAATTTCTAGGTGTCCCGAGGAACGGTCAATGTATGGTTCCCAAACACCCAATAATTGTCTATTTTTTTTTTTTTTTTTTTTTTTTTGGTAGATTCATCTG